CAGGAGAGCCGCCTGCCGACCCTGAGGTACCGCAGGTCTGTAAGACATGCATGTTCTTTCTCTTTTCCTGACTTCGTGGTTGTATARGTGGGCTCTTGGGCTTCTTTTTTTTCTGCTRGGAYGGCTGGTACTGATGARTATTTCTGTGAGTTCRATAGTGCAGTGTCGCGTCTGTTTTGTCMKCTGGCCCTGTCATGCKGCACTTGCAACCTCATTACCGATCTGTCACACTTGTAGATTCTGTGAGGGGGCTCTTTCCGTTCGAATTCTGCTGCATAAAATATTAGAAGAGCGGTAATGATCCGATTTGCATTTTAGGCTTTTTACGTTTTCTTCTCAGAGCAAGCAGCCTCCAACGGGACTCTTTYCTTGGTCACTCGATGCTTTTCAGTGTTGTATACGTAGCCTTTGTTGGCTGAAATAATATGTTTTAATTATATATAGTGSCAGACTCTGACTTTTAGAATGAGGTTCACTAATTCTGCTGTTGGCGTTTGGAATATGTGGTCGATGCTGGATTATGAGATTATTCCTTCTTGATCTTAATGAACCAAATCGATTCAGTGGGTCCTGATTGCCTGCTGAACAATTATTTTCTTCTTTTTATTTTGCTGTGTCTTGATGGAAGGGGAATTTACATATTCTTCTTCTTAACGAATGTGCCACCCTTTTCCCCTGTGCCCTCACGCCTTTTGCTGTTAGGGGATTGCAGCAATGACTAGTAATAGTGAGATTGGCTTATTTTATCGGAACTTTATTTCTTTGTTCTCTTTCTTCGTATTTTAATCATTTGGTGTTCCATGGTTGTTTGGGGTTTTTCAACTGATTTTCAATAGAGGCATGGATTGTTTGTGGCCTTGGGGGTTTTGGTTGGGTCCTTTGCTTTCGTTTTGGTTTTTTTCTTAACGTGTGTGTATCTTTTTACACACGAAATGTATACATTTTCTGGTCGTAATTATCGCTAGCACTGTGATCTCGAATAGAGCACGGCCTCTTGTGTAAGGTGTATTTGGGAGTACTGGTTAGAGAAAGTGAGCATTGCAGGCTGATTCAAAGCAGCCTCGAATAGTCAGGTGAAAAGTGACAAAGCACAGAAAGAAGGACAGTCCTTTTTCAGAGGGATTTCATTGCTGCTATGTGCAGTTTCTCGGGATCCCAGAATCTACTGTGTCTGTAGGCAGTAAAGTCTGAAACCAAGTGAGAAAAAAACCCTCAAAACTACTGCTACAAAACCTTTGCAGGGAAGAAATTGTGCTTTCCTACTATGAAATGAGATTCCTGATACTCTGTACATCGTATTAGGAGACTTTTATATTCATATTTTACTGTGCTGCAGAAATAGCATAACCCCGAGAGGCTTGCTATTTCCGTCTGGCCGTGACCACCTGCGGATGAAAGAGGAGATCGTCCGCACAAAAAAAAAAGTGAAGATAGAGGCCCCCCCTGGACGGGACCTCAAGTCTCCGAAGCTACTGTCCCGTCCCCGTGAGCTGCCCTTGAACAAGGCAGAGCGAGAGAGCTCAGCCGCGCTCGGTGCCTGCAGTGCCGGGAGGAGGCTGCGGGCGCCGCTGTTGACCGAGAGGAGCGAGAGAAAAGCCGAAGCGCTGCAGCCCCGCCCGCTGCAGCGGACTCGCTGGATTCCTGTCTCGTCAAGCTAACTATTTCGGATCCTTCCGGCTGTAACAAGGCGGAGGGACTGCGGAAGGCAGCGGAGAGGACCAGCAAGTTGGAGGCGGAGAGGAAGGCGGAGCGACGGTCGGCAGCGGGAGACCCTCTGCGGTGTTTCGGTTCCAGCGGCGCCGCTGTGGAGATGAGCGCGGCGGGGAGGCGCTGGGGCCGGCGGCAGCGAGCTCTGCTCTGGGTTGTTCTGCTGGCGGCGTGGGAGGCGGCGTGGGGGCAGCTGCGCTACTCGGTGCCCGAGGAGATGCCCAAGGGCTCGTTCGTGGGCGACGTAGCCAAGGACCTGGGGCTGCAGCTGCCGGCGCTCAGCGGTCGCGGTGTCCGCATTGTCTCCGAAGACAGGACGCAGTATTTCGCTCTGCACGGGAAGACGGGACATTTAGTGACGGCGGAGAGGATCGACAGAGAGCAGCTGTGCCGGCTGGTGGAGAAATGCGTGCTGCGCTGTGAGCTGATAGTGGAGGGAGAAATGAAGTTTTATGAAATTGTAGTGGAAATCACGGACGTTAACGACAACACGCCGAGCTTTCGACAGACAGAATCGGAACTGAGGGCAAGTGAGATGACACCCGTTGGGTCGCTGTTTCCTTTGCCAGATGCGGACGATCCGGATATGGGTCGGAATTCTCTGCAGAGCTACGAGCTGAGCGGCGACGAGCACTTCTCGCTGGCCGTGCAGGCGGGMCCCGGCGGCGATCAGCGTCCCGAGCTGGTATTGACGAAAGCATTGGACCGGGAGGAGGCGGCGTTTCAYGAGCTGGTGCTGAGGGCGAGYGATGGCGGCGATCCGGCACGGACRGGCACGGCGCGTATTCGCGTGAAGGTGGTGGATGCGAACGACAACGCTCCYGTGTTCAGCCAGGCGGAGTACACGGTGCGTGTGCCCGAGAATGTGCCTGTGGGCTCTGTCCTCGTCACTGTCACTGCCACGGATGCTGACGAAGGGCTGAATGGGCAAGTGAAGTATTCRTTGAAGAAAATCACAGAGAAAGCTTCGCAGATTTTCCATCTGGACTCTGAGAATGGAGCGATTACTCTGTTGCAAAGCCTGGACTTTGAGGAAGGCGATGCCTATGAGCTGGAGGTTCAGGCACATGATGAATTGGGTCTCTTCGACGCAGCGAAAATCGCAATCACCGTGACAGACGTCAACGACAACGTGCCAGAGATTTCTGTGCGGTCAGCCTTGAGTGAGATCTCTGAGGATGCACCGTCGGGGACGGTGGTAGCCCTGCTACATGTGCAGGATCGGGACTCGGGGGCCAATGGCAAGGTGCGCTGCTCGCTCGACGAGGGCGTCCCGTTCCAGCTGCAGAACTCGCA